TCCTTCCTTCCTTCCTTCCTTCCTTCCTTCCTTCCTTCCTTCCTTCCTTCCTTCCTCACTCCCTTGCTTACTTGTTTTTTACTGTTTGTCTCAGGCTGACCTCCAAATTGCAATCCTCCTGCTTCAACCTCCTGAGTGGCTGCGGTTGTAGGCAGAACTACCATCATCACATCTGGCTCTGTGGTTTTTCTAGAGCACGAACCTATCATTTCCATCCTCCCTTCAGAGTCCTTCTCTAGACCCAGGATTGTGTTTCTGCCTCACTGTCACCTCTTGAGGGCATGTCTACTTGTGTGCATGTGCGTGCTTGGGTGCGCGCATGCTCGTGGGCTCACTGGTAGGGAGGGCTTGCAGGTGACCTGGAACTTGTCTCCCCTACCAGACTGTAAACCCTGTCTTGTCCGAGGTGTCGCCTGTGGTTGGTAGGAAACAGAGTTCTCATTGCTTAGTAAGAGAGTGGCGGCTGCTGATGGAGCCCTTTGCTCCGGCCCTCCAGGGCGAGCCTCCTGCCCTGCTTGGCAGGTCTCTGCTCTCACGGCTGTGGTGCTCTGCCTGTCCTATGGAACCACTCATGGCTAGGGCTGTACTCAGCGGCCGAGCACCGGCATACGGGAAGCTGCATGTTCGTTCCACCTCACGAAACAAAACCCAAAACCAGAGCAGAATAAAGTCCCACTTGTAATGAGAACCACAGTGGTGGGAGCCATCTTCTCTCACTATTGTGCCTTGCTGTTCTGAAGTGGCCTGGCATCGGCCCTTTCCAGAACCGAACCTAACTCTCACAGAAAGGTGATCTTCAGACAGGGAGCAGGCGGCTTTTCTGGTCTCCCTGGACTACAGTATCTCATTATGTATCTCAGACTGGCCTCAGACCATGTTCTGAGTGCTGGACTACCATGCCTGGCCTAGAACCCTTCTTTTTTAAATTTTGCTTTTTTGAGACAGGGTTTCTCTATGTAGCCCTGGCTGTTCTGGAACTTGCTCCGTAGATCAAGCTGGTTTTGAACTCACAGAGATCTGCCTACTTCTGCCTTACGGATGTTTGGATTAAAGGTATGTGCCACCATCACCTGGCTGAACCCTTCATTTTATATTTTAAATTTATTTTATTTTTGTACATGACTGTATGTATAACAGCACACCATGTGGATGCAGTACCCAGAGGAGCCAGAAGAGGGCATCAGAGCCCCTGGAGCTGGAGTTACATGTGGCTGTGAGCTGCCCAACCTGGGTTCTGGGAACCAAACTCAGGTCAGGTTAGAAGAGCAAGCAGCACTTTTAACCACTGAGTCATCTCCCCTACAAACTGTGAAGTTGCGCTTTCCCTCCTCCATCAATCTATGCTCCAAGTCTGTCCCTCCACCGTGTCTGATCTGTCTGCCGCCGTGGAGACAGCTCTGTACAAGTTGACCCTCACCTCACCTTGCACTGGTGCACCCTGAATCTCTTCCTTGGACTCCTCTAGAGGAGATGCAGCATCCTGCAGGGATGTTTGGGAGGAAGGATGACTTCTCTCCATCAGTGGGATAAGAGCCCAGGTGAACAGCTTCAGTCTGTCATCTCTCAGTGGGACAGTAAGAAACACAGCCAACTTGCTCTGCAGAGGAGCGCCGAGGGGCCGAGCTCAAGAGGGAACCCTTCCTCATTGCCTTTCTTCTTTCCTGGTCTTGCCCCTCACCCCAGATCACCTCCCATGTAACCTACCTGCACCCCATCCTTGCGACAGGCTCTGCTCCCAGGTAAACAAAAGGGAAGCTGATGTGAGAAGTTTGTCTGGGATGTAGAGAAAGAGGACTCTATGTTTGTTAGATGATGAGGAGAACCAGCATCATCCCTGTCAGCATCCATTCCATCCTCACCCCTGCAGCTCAGTGGGACCACTGGAGCGGGACACAGCAGAACACCAGTTCCTCCCAGCTTTTCCATTTAGAGCCAGCTCCTCTCCTCAGTGGTGGGCTAACTGGGAAGGTGGGAGAGATGGAGCTGAGAGTGGAGCCTGTCTGTCACTAAGGGGGATGTACTTTCCCATGATGCAGCATACGGCCACCATAGGTTTGGGTCATGGACCCTGGATTGGCTTTGGAGGCTGAGTACCAGCTAGGGGAGTCACTGGTCTGATCCTGAGCAGCTGAAGTATAGAGCCCAGCCTAAGGCTGGAGCCCCCAAGGCTGGAGACTTGACTGAGGTGGGGTCTAACTACGCAGCTATACTGACCCTCATACTTACTCTTGCTGTATCCTGTCGGGTGTACCCCTACACCGCCTAGCACAGGGCTCTGCAGCCGATTGTTCTGCAAGGTTGGGTAATTGGGAGGGGGTGTCAGATCCCCAAAAAGAAGCCAGAACATATAGCTGTTTGACAGGCCCAGGCAGCTCAGTGGCTTCTCTCTTGGGAGCGAAATAGCTGAACTTGGTATTGTCTTTAAGGATGCTGAGCTGGGGACCAGGGAGAACTATAGCTGATCTTGGGCAGAGGCCTCACCCCTGTGCAGATCGTAAATGGCCTCCACCCCGGCTCTCCAGCTCTCCCAGCCCAGGTCCCCCTCCCCTCCCCCAGTCTGAATCTGCCTGAAGGCCTGAATGTCAACCATATGTTTCAGATGCTGGATTGCCGCACAGTGAGCCAGAAGGGCTGTTCGGGAGAGAGCATTCAGTCAAAGCTGTGTTTATACACACGAGGGCCAGGCGTCTTTTTATTATGCAGAATTATACACTTCTTAACACACAGGCATCAAAAGCCATTTTTTGTTTTTTGGAAGCTGCCACAGCATGGGCAGTGCGAGTCCGCAGCAGGGGTGGTGGGGGACGGGAGGTGACTGCTCGTCTCTCCTTGACTCAAGAGCACTGAGCCCCGAGCATCCCGATCTGATGGATGAGCGTGCAAGGGCACTGTAACTGAGACCTCATTCTTCCGAGGGGATCTGGGGAGCTGAGCCCCAGCAATACCATTTAGCATGTTGCGGAGCTTAACGGGAAGCTCCAGCTAGCTCTGTCTTGTGCCTCAGCCTCAGATCGCTCGTCTGCTCTCATTCTGGAAGGAACGTGATAGATATTTACCAAGAAGCATCTTCTAGAGTCCGCACCCTGTGAGTCTCCCCTTCTCTCTGGACTGTATAAATCTGACTCTAAAAACACGGCACAGAGGCCCCTATCCTTGAGTTTAGGCTGAGCAGTTACTAATCAGGACAAGAGCTATAGCATAAGCCTTGTCTTTAGCCGGGCATGCTCATGCATCCCTGTCACCCTGGAGGTCGGGAGCTTGAGCCAGGGGGGCCAGCCTGGGCTACATTAGTAAAAAGAAGAGGAGGAAAGAGGAAGAAGAAAGATGAGGAACTGGAAGAAGAGCAGGAGGAGGAAGAGGACAAAAAAGAGAGAAGGGAGGATGAAGGAGAAAAAGAGGAGGAAGGAAGGGGGAGGAGGAGGAAGAGGAAGAGGGGCTTTTCTCTACATTTTAGCATGAGAGAGATGAGGAGTAAGGGTTGGATTACCTGGGTTGGAATAGAGGCTCAACTTTGTACCAGCTCCCTGACTGAACTTGTCACTGGGTTCCTTAGATTTGCTTCATTCCCCTCACTGATGAAGTGGGAGCCGCTTGTCAAGTGTTTATAACATGACGCCTGGTGCCCTGCACATGCTGTGGGACCCTTTCTTCTGTGGGTATGCTCCTGAGGGGGTCTCTGAGGGGCAAGAAGGGGGTCTCTCAGCTGTGGCTTCTACCCCAGTGCCCTGCATTCTGCCAGAAGCAATCTCACACCAAGCTGTCTTTGAAATGGGGCGTGGATGAGCACCAGGTCTGGAATCAGGGTCTTTCTTTAAGCAAACGAGGAACTGGGCGTTAGAGGACCCTGGTGCTTCATCAGCTGTTAAGTGAGCTGTAATAGACTTGCCCCACAGGCCTGTGACGATGAGATTAATTGAGAGAGGTTGAGATAAAGCCTATAAACTGTTTAGTGTGCGTGGCGCTCGATGCCACTTGATGTCCAGTTTTATTAGTAGTGGGTATCCCAGAGAATGGTAGTTTAACTATCTAAAAACCTTTTTATTTCCACTGTCCCCAGCATCCTCAGAAGCAGTCAGGCCTCACTGAACAGACAAGAAAAGGGACTTAGAAGAACTCAAGGGACTTGCTGGACCGCCCTTGCTGACTGACTGTGGAACCCCAACCTACAGCTCCCTGGCTGGCTTGATAAATTGACATTTTTCAGAGCTGGACATCTGATCTCTTGAGAATGCTCCAGACTTTTAGATATTGGAGATGCTGGAGTTCTGGGGCATGTAAGCTATCCTTCCTCCCCTTCCCTGACAGCCTGTCTGTCTCACCAGGAAGTCCTTCTGGGTCAAACGAGTAGAGGCCGAAGGAGTCAGAGATGAGTTCTCTTAAAAGCCCGTGTTTTCATGGTACTGTACTCCAGTGTGGGAGGGAGGGGTGTGTGTGTGTGTGTGTGTGTGTGTGTGTGTGCGTGCACTTAAGAAACACACTCGGACCACCAGGTTAGTTAGTTCACTTGGGCGTTCACTTGGCGGATGAGTGCCCCGAGGCTGAGCCTGCTCATGACTGGGGGGCGAGGTGCGCACGCGTCCTGGGTTGATGGTTTCTTTTTTTCCCCTGAGCTTTGGCGACCCTGTCAGAACACAGAAATGTCTCGTGCTATGCCTTGCCCCCTTCCTCCCCCAAAGCACAACAAATCCTGTGGGCTCATGATCGGTGACTTTGCAAACAGAACAGGGGAAACTTTTGACCCTCCCCTCTACAGGAGGAGGCAGGAGCAAACTCGCTTTTTGGCCTCTTCCTTCTCTACCTGCGGGAGGGGAGGAGACGCCCAGTGCCTCGGATCCAGCTGGAAAGGGAGCCCAGGAGCTGTCCTTGGTAAGGGAGCGATTTACCATCTGAAGGGCGCCCCTCCCTCCCCTAGTGATGAAATTAGTTCCTAAGCACTGTTCTTGCATTTGCTTCTTCAGGGACATCAGGAGGCCCCCATCTCTCCTCTCTCCGTCTCAACACCCGCAGCCCCCCGAGATTTAAAGTCGGGATGCGATCTTCTCTCTCGCTTCCATTACTTTATTTTAGCGCCTGAGTTACTGAGCCATTATCCCTAGAAGAGTTCTTCATTCGACCTCAGAACGCCGCCTAGCAGGGCTCTTCTTGCTGCTCCCTCCATCCATTTAGGCCCTTTATGGGCTGTGCTGCCTGCCGCTCAGGGCCACACAACCTTGGGCCAGACCTCTGCTTCTCTGAGATTTATTTCCCTAATCTGTGAAGTCTGGGGGTTGAAATAGATGTCCCCCAAAGCCCTTCCCATCCTGTGATTCCTTTCAGCCACTTCCAAACCTTGACGTAATAGGGTTCAAAGGGCTGCGACCCTGTCCCAAGGACTGTATGCCTCCTCTGGCTCCCCTCCCCAAACCCAGACCACAAAACCGGCAACTCACGTGGAGGAGCCGGGGTTGGGAGACGGACAAAGTTAATAGGAGACAGTAAAGGACAAGCTGAGAGAGAGCCTTTCCTTCAGTGAACAGAGTGCTCTGGGAATTGATTCCCCCTGCTCCTGTTTACACGTTGTCCCCTCCCGCCCGCCCCTCTCCCCAACAGTGCAAGCCGAAAAGGCATTGCATGGAGATTAGCTGCTCTGTAGTGAGGCTACAATTTGCCCGCATGCTTATTATTCCAGGAGCCCAGACACCATTCACACAACCCCGTTCTGTCCTTGTTTTTCTCTGATTTTTTTTTCCCCTTTAGACAACTGGGGTCTGGGGAAGAGATAGATTCTCTGCCAGGTGCAGGCTCAGTGTCCTCCAAAGACCTCAGGAGGGGACACGCTGGCTAATAGGTCTGTTTGCTTGGCAGAGACGTTATCACCTGTTTCTCCAGTTGTGGCATTCTCGACTAAGGCCACGGCCTTCCCAGCTGGGAGTCTAGGTGGACAGGAAGCACCAGCCAACCTACTAAGGGCCGGGGAGGGCCGGGGAACCCATGCTTCCCGCCAGCTGCCTGCTTGGGCTTTGGTCTCTGAGTAATGAAGTCAGCCGGGGTGGGGGAAGCAGAGCAGGTGGCCCTGATAAGGATGAAACAAAATGAATGTGTTTTCAAAGTTTCCCCCCAGGCCCCAGCAGCATTCTGCAAAACTGTAATCCTATTTTGTAAATAGATGGAATTGCTTTTTTTCCTCTCCTTTTTTTAACCCATTGGAGATAGAAAGCCAGCTGGGCTTATTTCACACAGAGCTTGCCCCTCCGTCTCTCCGATTTCTCATTGAAAGTAACCTGGCTTCCCTGCCCCAGCATCCCTGGGTTCCCGTGTGCTGATGAGGCAAAGGATGCTCAGGACGATGTTGGTCCCAGAGTTCTGCTCTGACCAGCCAGTGCCCAGAGCTGTGGCCAGAATTCGACCCCACAGACTATCCAGGCTGTGGAGTCAGCAGAGAGAACTGGAGTCCGGTCCATCACCTTCCTCAGTCTCTCCTGGACATGTGTTCTTTGGATGGGGGATGGGGACCGTCACAAGGGACCCTAGCAAAGTGTACAGGAATGGTGCCTGATGACCCCTCAGGAATCTCTGACTGTTTTCTGAGCCAGTGGGGCTACAGCAGGACTTTCAGTAGGGTGGTCATGACCAGATGCGGGTCTCAGGTGCCTCTGATGCCTCTGGGGTATTAGAGATTGGGAACCAAGGCCGAGGCAGAGGCTGGGAAACCAAGATAAAAGAACAATCAGGTAACGGCACTACAGGGACCTGGCTTAGGGAGGTGGTGGCCGTGGCTTGGTGGACCCTGGCTTGGGCTCTGAGAACAAGTGATGGAGCCCTCACTAGGGAAACTACTGTGAAGAGACCCGCAAGGCCAGGCCTGTTGATGATCTCTCAAAGAAGGAGGGTTATTAGACTCCCATTTGAGATCCAAACAACCCGCCATCCCCACCCCTGTCTGTGGTGGCCAGCTGCCTTCACCCACCCCTGCTTCCGTCCGTCCGTAAGTCTAGCTAACTCATTAGTTCGCCAAGCTAGACTTCACCGGAATCTTGACTTTTCTCTGCCCTTGGCATCTAACGTGGGATGAGAAGACATTTGTTTACCTCTCCCCAGGAAAAGTGCAAACACAGCAGAGGGGAGTGCGGAGGGAGAGCCAGGTTGATGAGCAAGATTTGACATCCCCGAGTTTGAGATCCCTGGAACCTGAAGGCCAAGGGTGCCCTTCTGAGCACAGAATGGCTGCTTAGATGACCAGCACATGATGGAAAGGTTCATCAAGATGGACACTCACATCCTGGAGATTTTGATGGTGTGTGGTGAATTTTATGATGCTTAAATTATACCTCAATGAAGAGGTGGCTGGGAGGGGGTAAAGAAGAGGATGTTGGGAGAGCCATAGCATCTAGTCTTCCCAAAGGCAGGTCCACAAGGTGAGAGGGCTGAACAAGGAGTGTCCCTTTGCCACAAGGCAACTATTCAGCCTTTGTCCGGATGGGTGCAGGGAGGAGCTGGGAGCAGAGATGTGGTCACAGTGGGTGGGGATGAAGCCGCCTTTGGGGGTCTTAAAGCATCCCTACACCTGTGCAGCCTCCTCTCTCAAAGAGAGCTTAAGAAAATAGATGCTAACTACTGATGTTCAATGTCACTGATGGGGCCCCCCAGCCTGCTGGAGTTTGGCAGTCCTCAAGGGTAATGGTCTACGGTAGACTGGATGCTAAATATCCCCAGAGGCCTACCTGTTAAAGGCTTGCTGGACAGCCTGTTGCTATGGGGAGGTGGTGGAGTCATTTAAAGGTAAGGTATAGTGGGGGTCTCTAGGTCAATGGGTGTGCCCTTGAAGGAGATTGTGGGACCCCTTCCCCCTCTCTCCCTGGCTTATAATGTAAATGGTTCTGATCTATGACACACTTGTGCCAGGAGATGCTTCCTCCACCGACCCAAAAGAAAACAACTCACGTGCTCATTGACTAGAACTTGTAAAATTACAAGCCAAAATAAACATTTTATGAGTTATGAACATTATAACAAAATGGGTATTTTGTTATAGTCATATAAAGCCAAGGAACACAGTGTCAAAGTACTATTTAACATTTTTTTAATTAAAAATATTTTTTGTGTATATGTATACATGCACATTCATATGTGTGAACGTGGGCACACATGAACCACAGAATACATGGGGAGCTCATAGGTTCAGAGAACAGCTGTGAACCTTCCACCTTGTTCTGAGACAGAGTCCCTTTCTTGTTTTTCCTTTGAGCATGCCAGGCTAGCTGGCCACAAGCTCCTGCCTCCTGTCTCCGCACAGGAGTGCGGATTGCAGATGCTCGCGCTGCTTTGGCTTTTCTGTAGTTCTGGGGATTCAAACCCCTGTCCTCATGTTTGTATGACAGGTGCTTCTACCCACTGAGCCATCTTTCTAGAGCCATTTTCTTTAGGGAGGGGCAGAGTGCCCATGTAGCCCAGGCCGACTTTGAACTCAGTGTGTAGCTGAGGATGACCTTGACTTCTGATCTTCCTGCTTTCACTTCCCCAGGGCTGGGATCCCAGCCATGTGTCACCACATGAAATGGTAGGGATTGAAGGCAGGGTTTCACGAATGCTAAGCAGGCCTTCTCCCAACCGAGCTACATCCCTGTAATTTGTAGAACGAGGATTATCATCACGGAGAAGGATGCCTGGCTGGTGGGCAGAATCACATCTGGCCTTGACGCCCCTCCCTCCAGACACTGCCTTGCACAGAACTACCCTCCAAGCAGAACAGCCACTGTCTTCATGATACCAGCTGGGTTGGCGTGCCAAAGATCACCACAGCCGGCCTTGTGACTTAGTATTTCTCAGGGAAGGACGGGCTGAGAGGGTCCTGGGACCTCTCCCCAGCGTCCAGCCACTTCTCCTAACCGGTTGCTTCTAATTCTGCCTGAGTTGCATTTGACCTGGTGTCTCAGATGGGGGTCTAGAGTATACAGGCTGGGGAAGGCTAGGGTCACTGGGGCCTGTCTATGCAGCTGTGGGGAAGCCTTCCAGGACAGCCACTCCTGTTAGTGGTGCCTTACCCATGCTTTGTAAGTAAGTCCGATAGTTCCACAGAGGGATCATTGGTGGAATTGAACTTTGGTTTGTCTTTGGGACCTTTGAAGGAGGGGGTGGGTAGCCATGTCAAGTGTTCCCCTACCCTAAACAAGAAAAAACACTCCCAACACTCCTTGGCAGCACCATGTGTCTGGATAGGAAGAACCGGCCTGGCTGGTGCCTTCTCAGGGCTGTTGCTGAGGAGGAGAAGGCATGCATGCCTACAGATCATGTGGCTGCTGGTGATAGTATTGGCAAGTTCCTGTCTCAGGCTCCTTTTCCTTCTCTTATCCTTTCTGTAAAGCTACAGCTCTCTAAACGTCATTACTAATCCTGAGGTTGGGTAATTGAGGAGCTGACTGGGACGGGAAGGCCATGGAAGGACCTAGCAGGAGCTACAGTACTGTAAGGGATGGTGGTGGTGGTGTGGGGCGTGACTTCTAGAAAAATGACGGCAAGGGTCAGCCAGCTCTGCCTGTCTTGGCATCCCTTAGAGCCAGCCCCAGGGGAAGGCGAACCAGGGGCTCAGGTGGATTCTCTGAAGGTCATGTCTTTGAAATCCAATTCAGCCCTTGTCTAGGACTTGAAATGGTCCATTTGCTGAATTCACTTGCTGCCTTCCCCCCTCAGCTTTGTTGACTGGCTCCCATTCTGTCTTCATAACAGCATTTTAAGAGATTGACCTACTGCTGCTTAGACGTTCCTTAGGCTGTTGGGCCCAGAGGCTCACTTGGGCTATTCCATGTAATTGGGTTTTATGGACAGACAAGGCAATATGAAGGTACATGCATTGTGGGGATCCAGGAGCCTGCCAGTCTACTGGTACTACGGGAAGAACAGGAAGAGAAATACAGCCATCACCATGGATACAGAATGAGGGTGTCCAGGTCATGGCAGTTCTGGAAGTCAGTGACCCCATATTCAGGATGCTTCCTGGTCCCCAAATGCATATACATCTGTATGGTAGCTCTCTAGGGTGGTTGTTGGGTATGAGTCATAAAGACAGGAGCTCTGTCTTCTATGGTCTGCACACAGTAGGTGCTTAAGGAGGCTGGTAAACAGCCATGAGGCAATGATGCTAGGCAGAGATAGGACTGGAACCCCTGACTCCTGATTGTAGCTTAGAGCTTTCTCCTGTGGGGTAACCTTCCTAACCAGCGATGTGCATTCACACAGGCTGTTGAAGGCTCTTGTGTTTAGGACCTGGAAGAGTTTTGGTCATCTTACTTGTATAGGGAGGGAAGTGAGCGGTAATGGCCTGTGACTCATGGCTGCTGTGGTTTCTGGGCCTGTCTTTCCCAGGCATTCTCATTTCTTGCTATTCCCTCTCCCTTTTCCATTTTCCTTCTCCTACCCCAATGATGCAGAAAGGACAGAAGAGTCACCCTCCTGTGGGAAGCATGGAGCCTCTGGTGTGAGAGGGAACAGCCATGGGATGTGACAGGCTGGCACACGTTTGGTTTGATGTTTGTCTATTGGTGCCTTCTCTGTGCCTGGCATGCCCTAGACACTCTCCTAACACTGTGTAGATGGCACTGTCACGTGTCCTTTTACCAAGAAGATGGGATGGCACAGAGCGGATGTGTGACTTGGCCAAAGCGACCTAGCTAAGCAGAAGTGTCAGACTGGACCCAAAGTGCTTGCTCTAAATCCGTTATTTTTGCTGTAGTTAGAGCGAGCCATTCCTATGGCCTTTTGCATGGTATGACCCAGAGACACAGCAGGGTGTGTGTGTGTGTGTGTGTGTGTGTGTGTGTGTGTGTGTGTGTGTGTGTGTGTGTGTTGTCTATCAACCACTGGTATACTCCTTGAGATTCTTTAAAAATTTTCTTAAAAATTGATTAAATTATGTGCACTGGTGTTCTGCCTGCATGGATGTCTGTGCACCATGTGTGTGCCTGGTACCCATTAGGCTAGAAGAAGTCATTGGATCCACTGGAACTGGAGTTACAGACAGTTGTGAGCTGCCATGTAGGTGCTGGGAATTGAACCCGGGTCCTCTGGAAGGGCATCCAGTGCTCTTAACCGCTGAGTCACCTTCTCAGCTCCCTCTTGATAATCTTTAGGGAAACATTTTTTTTCCTACTCCCTCTCTCTCTAACTGGACTGTTGCCAGTGATGGCTGCTGTCTGGTTCATCAGGGTAGGAACAGCCCCTGCTGGCTGCTGGCCACCTCTTTTCTCTGGTACCTTTACTTCCCTATCCTTCCTTGACTTACCTTGTTCTGGCTCAGCTTTAGCCTTCTGTACAGAAAACTGCTCATCTCCTTTCCTGGGTCATTCCCCAGCCTTCCAGGGTTGGTTTAAATCAGAGCTCTCGGGACACATGGGTTCCAGGGCAACTTGCCTCCCAGGAAGGGGACAGGTACCGTCACCCTGAACGTACCCTTCCTTTCCCTGGCAACCGCAAGCCCTTCTCCTGTCCCCCAGGAGGCTTTGAGAGAGTCCCACACCTAGTGTGCTTCTGTCCCACCTGCGGCTACCCCTCACTTGGAACATCCATCGGCGGCATGACTGCTGTTTCCGTTACCGGGTTTCCATTCTTCCCTGGAGAAATGGAGCCGGCCCTGCCCCTCGGGGAAGCTGGCACCTCTGAGAGCCCTGATGCCCTCCCCACCAGTCTCCAGATAATGGAAAGTCATTTCCGGTGGGAGGAAGTGGTGCGGGGCCTCGTGTGAGGCGCTGTTGCCTCGAAACGGCAACAAAAGGAAATGTAGGCCAACAGCCCTTGGAGCTGCGGCTCCTGCTACCGAGAGCTATGCCGGCCAGAAAACACTAATGGTCTCCTCCTCGTCTCCTTCCAGCTAATGATAAATAATGTGTATTTTTAGTTTGGAATTGAATTTCATCTCTCTGTTGCTGGTATGTTTCAGGTGTATTTTTTTTTTCCCCTTTCTCCCTTGGGGCCTGGAAAGCAGACATTTGTGCGCTTACTGTGTGCATTTATTCCCTGCTAGAAACTGACATATGGACTCATTATTTCCTTCATATTTATTTTCACCCCCCCCCCCAACCACTCACCTGGCTGGGCCAGGTGGAGGGCTGCATCTGAGAGGCCTCTTCTGAAGGCATCTTGCAGATGGGGGACAAGGGGCTGACTGTCGTTGATTGCTTCTCCCAACTTGAATAGGCCTTGAGTCTACCCAGCATGTATGGTACACTGGGATTAGCCTTTGAGAACCAACGGCCTAAATCCTTCCTATGCGAAATGTAGTCCTGGGACCACAGCCTCAGGTTAGTGGGACCTGGCAGGGATGGATGCTTGGGCCTCACTCCAGGTCTACGAACATCTGCACAATTGGGAGGCTGAGGAGATGGCGTGGTCGGTAGAGGCCTGATGTGCAAGCAGGAGGACCTGGGTTGGGGTCTCCAGCACCCACCTAAGAAGCCAGGCATGGGGGTGTGCATCTGTAACCCCAGTGCTGGGGTGGAGGGGCGGTAACCAGACGATCCTGGGAGCTCATTGTTTATACAGTCTCGCTGAATCTGTGAGCTCCAGGTTCAGTGAGAAACTGTCTCAAAGAAATAATGTGGAGGGGCTGCGTGTCAGTATTCTGAGCCGCCCCTTGAGGACCCGCCCAGAGTCCTCCTGACACCATCCTGCATTTCCTTTAAGAAGAAAATCCCTCTTCTCTTCTCTCTTCTGCCCTTCCTCCCTCCCCAGCCACGAGGTGTGCTCCCTGGCTCCTCTCACCTCCCCCTCTTTTCTTTCTCTCTCCCTCTTTCCTTATCTTTTTTTCTCTCTTTTATAATAAACTCATTTCCACGTGGATGCAGTGCTCAGGGTGTGAGTGACTGTTCACACACCGCTGCATCTGCCCGGCATATTTCCGTCACCTGTGGGACACCTTGGCCCGGCCAGCCAGGGCCTTCCGGGCGCCATATCATAACACTGGGGAGGGCAACTCCATGGGTAAGAGCAGTAGTGGGCAAGTAAGAGG